TTTTTGCTTTCTAAAGTTAATAATTCCATTTTTTACAGGTTACCTGAAAAGTTGGCGATACAAAAAGATCCTGATCAATGGGGAATGGCATTTTGTAATTAATATTATGTATTAGCTTATATCTTTTAGTTCTAATAGCTCGCATGGGATGATACATGGTGACTTCGTGATGTGTCTGACTGGCAAAAACTGCAGTATTGTTTTCAACAGGTTCTGTGTGTAAAAATGCACAATAAAATATTATTGGAAATCATTTTCATAACAAAGACAGTATATCTTTTGGAATTACCTTGATCGAGAAGCGGAAGAAGTGATTTCCCTGTTAATTGTGGGGAAAGAACTTCATTTTCATTGGATGAAGGTTGATTCGTATAGGTGATGTCAAACCAATCTAACAGTGTTGGTACAATGTCCAATAAAGATGTTAAGCTGTATGTTACAGCATTTTTCCTATGCTTTGGGTTTGGTGACCTAATCATCATAGGTTCTGCCAAACCTGATGGAAAAGAATTTGTCATTTATGTGTAACAGGTGTCTTCAAACCTTTTTAAGGCAAATTTATATTTAAATTGTTTCTTTATACCTGGTTCATATAGATTTGTTCGACCATTTGGAAATGGTATACCATTGTCTGATGTGTAAATGACTAATGTGTTATCTTTGAAACCAGCATCTTCAATTTCCTTTAGCACTAGACCCACACCTTTAAAATTTCAAATTTCTATCATAATTCTCAAATGTAGTATTTCTACATTTTATACTGTTGACAGGTGATAAATCATTTATCATATTATTAATAAATATCAGCAAAACAGAAATACATTAACATAATATTAAGATAAAATATTAATTTTCATTTGTACCTTGGTCTAAACGAGATATAGTTGTATACTGCGCAGCAATATCTCGTCTAGCAGTTTCCGTATTTTGAACAAAATAAGGAACTTTCACTTGATCCCATTGGTAATATATTGGATGCCAGTCAGGAATACTACCCATGCCAATATCACCATTGCCAAACTTTTCACAAAAATTTCCATATTCTGGATGAGAGTGTCCACATCGATGAGGATCATGAAATGCAATATATAAAAAGAAAGGCCTAAAAATTTTGAATTATTTATATCACTCCTTTAAAAAAAAATAATAATTCTATGCATAATGATATCATACTGTGTTCCATTGTGGGAAAGAAAGTCTCTCACTAAAAGTTTAATTTTAGTAATATTGCGACCAACTTGAAGGATTGAATTGTTTTCTTCTGTTTGTGAAAAATCAAATGGGTATACACTATCCGGGCCTACATGCTTTTTTCCAATAATACCTAAAAAATATGTTAAATGCCATTTATGGATTTGTTATAAAGTTACTGTTACCATTTAATACAAATCTACCTGTTCGTATATTATTTTCTCTTAATATTTTTGGTAAACTTTGAACATTATCAAAGGAATTAAAGTGATGAATTCCGTGATGGAGACCGTACATTCCATTCTGGTGACTTGGTAAACCAGTGAGTAAAGAAGCACGGCTAAAATTCAAAAATCTTTATATATATCAAATTTTTACAATATAATTTTCAAAACTTGAGAAAATTAAGGAAACAATAAAATGTTAAATCATACCTAGGTGAACAGCTGCTAACCGATGAATATGCATTATTAAATAACAAACTTTCTTTTGCCAATTTGTCTAAATTAGGTGTCTGGCAAATTTTATTTAAGTAGGATCGCATTTCAAATCCTCCATCATCAGCTACATGAAGAAAATTTTAAATATTTAATAATATCATAAATTGATATAAAGCAATAGAGTTAATGTTATGTATTACACTATGAGAAAAAGTTTAAAGAAAACTATAATTTTAAAAATGTTTAAAACATTAAAATTGAGTTTATTTGAATCCAGATATTTACAGAATTTAAACATTTGAATTTTTTAATGAAGAAACAATAGCTTATTATTACCCAAAAGTAATACAACATTTTTACGGGCCGCAGTGTTTGCATTTAAATTACGTAAATCAAATAAGATAAGAATGATAAGACAATATAATTTATTCGGCCAGATTCTTTCAAACATTGTTATTCGAACAGATAGGATAGAACGCGTTAAGCAGTACGTCAAACTGGCCACGTATTAAC